AAACTCATTTATTTTATTTAGACAGTCTTACTTTGCTCCCCTCAGTAGAGTGCTGTGGTGTCAGAACTCATAGCAACCTCAAACTCATGGGCTCAAGCAATTCTCTTGCCTCAGCCTCCTGGACTATAGACACCCACCACAACGCCTGCCTACTTTTAGAGACAGGGTCTCACTCTTGTTCAGGCTGGTCTCAAACCCATGAACTCAGGCAATTTACCTGCCTCCCAGAGTGCTCAGGCAGTTTACCTGCTTCCCAGAGTACTAGGATTTTGTGTGAGCCACCGCACCTGGCCTAATAAACTCATTTATTAATTCTAGAAGTGTTTTGTGTTTGTATTCCTTGAAAATTTCTATGTAGACAATTATCACTTACAAATCAGGACAGTTTTATTTCTTCCATATCAATCTTACTGGTGTGGTATTATTTCTTTTTCAAATGTTTGATAGATTTTATTAATAAAACTATTTGGACCTGGAGATTTTTTTTTTTAAGTTTTTTGGTTTTGTTTTATTTTTTCCTTTTTTGAGACAGAGTCTCACTATGTCGCCCTCAGTAGAATGCCATGAAGTCACAGCTCATAGCAATCTCAAACTCTTGGGCTTAAGTGATTCTCTTGCCTTGACCTTCCCAAGTAGCTGGGACTACAGGAGCCCGCCACAATGTCTGACTTTTTTTTGTTGTTGTTGTTGTTTAGCTGGCCCCGGCTGAGTTTAAATCTTCCAACCTCAGTGCATGTGCCTGGCGCTGTAACCACTGTTCTATGGGTACTGAGCCTTTTTAAAAAGTTTTAAAATAAAAATTGAATTATTCAATAGTTTTGGGGCGATGCAGCTTATATCATTATAAGTGAATGTTGGTAGTTTGTGGTTTTAGGAAATTGGTTCATTTAATCTAAGTTGTTGAATTTATATGGAGTTGTTCACAGTATGTCCTTATTATCCTTTAAATGTTCGCAGGTTCTATAGTGAATTCTCCATTTTTATAAACCTATATTGAGAATTTTTGTCTTTTTACTTTTTGTATTTATCAGTCTTGCTAGGAAGATTTGTATTGCATATATTGATCTTTCAGAGAGTCAGTTTCAGTTTCACTGATTTTTTTGGTATTATTTTGTTCTTTTGAGTTTCTTTGATTTCTGCTCTTTATTATTTCCTTCCTTCTAATTGCTTTGAGTTTAATTTGCTCTTCCTTTTCCAGTTCTTAAAGATTGTTAATTTTTTTTCTAATTTAAGCATTTAATGCTATAATTTATCCTTTAAACACTGTGTTAGCTGCATCTCACAAATTTTAATATGTTGTCTTTTTATTTTTGTTCAATTCAAAATGTCTACTTCTCGAGACTTTCTCTTTGATCCATAGATCCCTTATAAGCAGGTTTTTAAATTTGTTAGAGTCTGGATTGTTCTTTTACGCTTACATTGTTAATATCTAGTCTAATCCTATTATGGTCAATATATCATACTTTATATGATTTCAGTTCATTTGAGTCAATAAAAGTTTATTTTATGACCTTGTGTATTAGTTTCTAATGCTTCTGTAGGATGTGAGGGTGATCTGGCTGTGACATCTGTCACCCTGTTGATTGCCAGGGTTGATTGGCTGGGTAGGTGGTTGTCTCCTTCCTCCCTCACCACTCCACGTGTTTCCCTCCCAAAGACAATGCCCTTCCCCAATAAAGGACCACTGCTCTTCAGTCAAGGGTATCTGAGTAGGTGGGTTCCCCTGCTAAGACCTTAAAACAAGCTCTCTAATGCTGCTGTAACTCGCCACCACAAACAGTGGCTTAAACCAGCACAGATTTACTATCTTACAGTTCTGAAAGTCAGAAGCTTGAGGTGAGGCTCATTGGGCTAAAGTCAAGATATCAGTAGAGCTGTGCTCCTTTCTGAGGCTTTAGGAGAGAATCCGTTTTCTTACCCCTTCCACCTTTGAGAGGCTTCCTTCCTTCCTTAGGTTATGGCCTTTTTCAGCAGTAGCCTCACTATTTGTGTCATTTTTAAAGAACTTTTTTTCCTACTTTTCTTTTTTTTTTTACTGTTTTTTAATTTGTCTTTTACGCAGTTATTGAGGCATTTGGATTTATGTCAACCATTTTTTTACTTGGTTGTGCCTCTGTTATTTATTTTTCTGTTTTCTTTTTCTTAGTTTTCCCTCTCCTCTTCCCTCTTTTTTGGTTATTTGATTTTTTTTTTTTTTTGCTTGTGTTTTTAACCATATCTCTTTATATAGTTTTATTTTAATGGTTGTTCTAGGGGTTACAATATACTTAACTTTCCACAGAGTACTTATAATCAGTATTTTACTACTTCAAGTGGCACATAGAAAAGTCCCTTTGCACCCCCACCTTATATCGTACTTGTCTTTTATGTTGTATTATATCTATGTATCTATATCTATAGAAAGCCTCATCAGATATACTTGACTTTGCTTTCACTGTCAAACATATTTTAAGGAACTCAGGAAGATAAAAATAGTCTGTTACTTTTGCTGAAATAGTTAGCATCCTGTTGCTCTTTCTGTATTCCTGATGTTTCACATTTTCTTTCTAGTATCATTTCCTATCTATTGGAAGAACTTTCTTTAGCAATTCTTTAAAAGTAGTTCTGCTGGCAACACATTGTCTTGGTTTTGCTTCACCTGAGAGTGTACTTATTTCAACTTCCTCTCTGAAGGGTGTTTTCCTGAATATAGAAGGATGGGCTGACAGTTTTTTTCTTTTAGAACTTTAAAAATATTCTACTTCCTTCTGGACTTAATGGATTCTGAAGATAAATCATTCCTCTAGAAGTAATATTAACTTTTTCTGCTTGATTTCAAGATATTTTGTCTTCATTTTCTAAAGTTTAATTAGGATATGCCTCTGATTGGATTTCTTTGTATTTCTTTGTGTTTATTCTGTTTGGGGATTTGCTGAACTTCTTGAATCTGCTGTAAGTTTGTATCTTTCAAAAAAAAATGGAAAATATTAGCATAAAATATTTTTACTTAAGTATTAACTCTTTTTTCTCTCCCGCTGGTATTCAAATGTCACAAATACTGGACTTGTGACACTCTTCATCGCTGCCCCTACTTGTCCTTTTTTTTTTTTTTTTTTTGAGACGGAGTCTCACTTTGTCACCCTTGGTAGAGTGCTGTGGCATCATAGCCTACAACAACCTTAAACTCTTAGACTCAGCTCGGTGCCTGTGGCTCAAGTGGCTAAAGCGCCAGCCACATATACCTAAGGTTTCGAATCTAGCCCATGCCCACCAAATAACAAAGATGGCTGCAACCAAAAACTAGCTGGGCATTGTGGCGGGTGCCTGTGGTCCCAGCTACTACTTGGGAGGCTGAGGCAGGAGACTCACTTGAGCCCAGGATTTGGAGGTTGCTGTGAGCTGTGATGCCATGGTACTCTACTCGGGGACAGCTTGAGGCTCTGTCTCAAAACAAACAAACAAACAAACAAACAAAAAACTCTTAGGCTCCAATGATTCTCTCATCTCAGCTTCTCAAGTAGCTAGGACTACAGGCCCCCACCAAATACCAGCTATTTTTAGAGATGGGGGTCTTACTCAAGCTCATCCTGGTCTTGAACTTTTGAACTCAGGTGATTGGCCCACCGGGGCTGGCACCCCCCTTGTCTTTTTCTCTCTGTTGTTCAGGTTAGGTAATTTATGTTTATCTGTAGTAAGTTCATTGTTTTTCTTCTTCTGTCATCTCCATTCTCTCTTGAGCTCATTTAGTGAGCTTTTAAATTTGATCATTGATATTTTTCCACTTCTAAGATTTCTATTTGGTTCTTCTTGTATCTTCTGTTTCTTTTCTGAATTTATCTTTCCATTTGTTTCAAGAATATTTGCTCACACTTCTTGAAGCAATAGTTGCTTTACTATCTTTAATATTTTTTTCAGATAATTTCAACACCTGTATTCTCTTGGTATTGGCATTTTCCCCATACAAGTTGGTATTCTCCTATTTCTTTGTTTACCTAGTAAATTAAGATTATACTCTGGACATTTGACTATTATTCTAGGAGATTTTGAGTCTTGTTTAAATCCTATGCAAAATGTTAATGTATTTGTTTTAGCAGGTACTCAACTCACTATAATTCAGACAGCAAGTTTCTGCAGGTTATAACTACAGAATCAGTTCAATTTTCCAAGCCTTTGCTATTTTATTTAGTTCTGCCCCACACGTGCAGCACACATTGCCAGCCTGGAACTTGAGTAGTGGTCCATTTCCTAATTCATTTCTCAAAGTTCATGTGTGTTTGTTTGGGTCAGATCCACACACAAGCCACTCAAGGGTGAGTCCAGGAGTTCATATAAACAACTTTGAGGTTTTGTTCTCCCAATCTCCTCCTTGTTTGTGATCTCCCAGTAATTTCTGATTCCCTGTGGCTCCCCATTTCCAGTCTCTAACCTGAAAGATGGGGCTTTATCCCTCTTCAGTGTGGGGCACTCCTGCAACTGTGCCCATCCATACTCAGGGCAAGTGGCAGGACAGAGAAAGAGAAACAACAGGGATTCACTACATACGCTTAGGAACCCATAGCTTCTGTGATCAGATTTCCCTCCCCCAGAGTTTTAGACTCCTAATGGCCTTTGTTCCCATTGCTGCTGTGAGTGTCTAGTTTGAAAGAATAGAGAAAAAAGGAAAAAATTGGGGATTTTCACACTTTCTGATGAATATTAAGAGACTTCTTTCTCTCTTTCCTCAAGCCAGAACTAGAGAGAGGATTCTCCTGAAGCTGTCCATCTGGGCTTCATTAAGTTCAGTCTGGCTGGTACCAAAAGAGGGGAAAGTGATAAACATGTTGTTGCTGCAATAGTACTTCAACTTCAGGACTTACCCAATCTGTCTACTACTGTTTACTTTTCAGAGTTTTTAAGTAGCTGCTCCATGGATTCTATTAGGTCTTGCAGCTTGGTGCAAAAGGTCACTTGCTTGGTGTGTGATTGCTCCATTTTATCTGAACTAGAGTCTGACTTAAAGTTTTTAAATTTTATTTCTTTAGGAATTGTACAAGAAACTGAAGTTTTGATTCCAGTATATTTTAAATTGAAACCAGAGATGTACTAGAGTTTAGATTCTTTCATTTGATTAAGGTAAGATTTGATTAATATAACTTAATCATACCCTTATGTTTATTTTAAAACTTATAGTTGAATGTGTGCTTTATTAATGCATTTTAATTTCTCGATCTAACCTGGGATTCTGATCTCAAAAAATATTTTATGGTTCATTTACCATTTAATTAGGTAATAATCCTTCTAACAACTAGTAGATGAGAGCGAAACATGATTATATACTCAGTGAAGGTGTTATTGTTATTTTTAAACAGTCAAATCTGTTTGCCTAGAGCAGGAGTCAGCAAACTGTAGCCCCCAGGCCAGCCACCTGTTTTGGTAACTGAGGTATCATTGAAATATGGCCCCACTCATTTATTAGTATTATACAGATTGTTTATAGCTACCTTACCCCTAGAGTGGCAGAGTTCATTAATTGTAGCGTTGTTTATGTGGCCCACACGCCTAAAATCTGCCCCTTTTAGAGAAGTTTGTTGACACTTGACCTGGAAGACTGAATCAGAGTATCTTACTATTTTGTGTAATTATAATATGTGAAATGTCAGCTAACTGGTTTTAGTTATCAGTATAGGTTGTCATATGAAAACTAGAGATTTTAAAATGTGTATAAATAAGTGTACCTATACTAAGTCTGACTTCTTAAAGTAAAGGAGATATTGGTTTTCTGAAATAAATGATTTTAAAAATAAAACTTTATGCTTCTTTTTTTAGAGGAGGTACTGGCTTTCTGAAATAAATGATTTTAAAAATAAAACTTAATGCTGTGATCAGTTAAATGCCAAGTGCTTATTTCTAGATAGAAGACTTCATTTTGCTTTGATTTTTAAAAATAAAAGTTTATATGACAAATATCAAGCTTATTCCTTCTCTAAAAATATTCACACAAATGTTTTTACATACATTTTGTCTTTTCTACTAAATTTGGACAGAACTAGTAGCATTTTGAAAGAGTAATGGTTATATTATTATTATCTTTTTTGATACAAAATCTTACCATCACCCCCCCCACACACACACACACACACAGAGTAGAATGCAGTGGGTGGCATCATCATAGCTCGCTGCAACCTCAAACTCCTAGGCTCAAGTGTTCCTCTTTCCTCAGCCTCCCAAGTAGCTAGGACTACAGGTGCATTGCACAATGCCCAGGTAATTTTCGTACTTTAAGTAAAGATGGGGTCTCACTTTTGCTCAGGCTAGTCTCAAACTCCTGTGCTTAAGCAGTCCTCATCCCTTGACCTCCAAGAATACTAGGATTATAGGCATAGCCACTGAGCCTGGCCATGATTGTATGTTTTTAATATCTGTTCTGGTAACATAGGTGATTTATATATTTGACGTTTTAAATGAAAATAGTCTAGTATAAGGCTATGTTTAGTGGTTAAAGTTGGAATTAACATTTCTCTGTGAAGTTTAAATTGAACTGCTTGTTTGTGATTCCTAAAATTATTAAGTGTTTAAAATACATAAGGTAGAAGAAGAAATTAAGATTTGAGCCTACAAGGCCTACAGAATGTTTGTGGCACTTCTCAGGAAACTGTTGGGTGAAGAAAAAAGCATATTTTTGAAATATGTCATATAAATTAAAATTCCCAACCTATATCAGATAAAGGAATTTCTCTGTTTAGGGCACCAAACTCTAAAAGAAAGAATTTTTTTTTTTTTTTTTTGCTAGTTTCCAAGTAATCTCAACCAATTAAAATAAGTTTCTGAAATCTTCATGTTATAAAGAACAATTTGACAAGCAGGCTACTGAGATGTAGAGTATTTGTTTTCCTAATATAGGAGTTTGAGTATCTTAGCTTGTGTTCTTATAATGCAAATTTAGAACTTTTAAAGGGGAGAAGTCTGGAAATAGTTCTGAAAGAAAACATTTTACATCTTTTTATGCCATTATACATTTTATTTTTAAATCAGTATGAATTTAGAATTCCAGTGCCTATACATTTGAATTATGAAAGATGATAAAGTTAAACTGCCCAGGAAAGATGGGAATCTTGATGCCTTTAATATGTTAATGAGGCCACCTTAGCATGTTTGTGATGAGCTACAGTCTACATTGAATTGGGCTTAGAGAGTCCCTATCTGATTCATAGACTGAGACTTAAAATTATTAGGAATAAATAAAATTTTCCTTTAGATAATGGATTATATAGGAAGGTACTGCTGAGTGTTTTTATGGTTTTTTGCCTCTGTTAAATCGTATCTCAAAGCATCTTTTTTTTTTTTTTAACTTCTCTGAGTTATGTTCCAGTTGTGGTATGTAAAACAAGGGGAAATCTATAGAAAAGGTCACTTTGATTTTCTCTTTCCTGTAACTTTAGATTATTTAGATTTTTCTAGGTCAACATAAAATATTTCATTTCAAAAATGAAATACTGAGTCATTATCAGTTTGATGTTAAATTTATGAGTTAAAGATGGGTAGAAAATCTTTTTTATACTGAATATACTGCTTGTCTTTTAGAGTATATATGGCTGGATAAGAAAGGGCCTGAATGGACTTGTTTTAGAATTTTCTCTGTTCATATTTTTGAAGGTTCTCAGACTAAAAGACAATGTCAACTTTTTACTTTTGTAGATGCTGACTGGTATCATTGTAGAGCTGTTATAGTAGCTGTTAGGGTGTGAATTCAAGCGCAGGCTGAGAAAGATTTCTCGCACAAAGACTAAAATAGTAAGAAGAGAAAAGTTAATTTTACATTAAAGATTAGATGAGTCTTAAAGAAAGAAAGCTTATTTTACTTCCCAGAGGTGAGAAGGGCACAACGTAAGAGAATGAAGTGTTTGCTAGGAAAGGGTAGGGTATTTGGATTTTTCCTTTTTTTTTTTTTTTAACAGGCGCCCACCACAACACCCAGCCATTTTTTAGTGTTGTTGTTGCAGTTTGGCCAGGGCCAGGCTCGCCACCGTCGGTATATGCGGCCAGTGCCCCACTCAATGAGCCACAGGCGCCGCCCGGGTATTTAGGGTTTTTATTTAGGGGAAGAGAAATAAAAGAAGTGATTCCAGCCGACTGGTAGCCAAAATGGCTGTGAAGTTTGTGCGCCTGTTTTTTATTTTTATTTTTTTCTTCTCAGTGAGACTGGCTTTTCAATCCTTGAAACATGGTTTGGCAGGAACTGAAATGAAGAGCTTGCACCCCTGCTGTCTGCTTAGGATCCTTCAATGCTAGGAAAATTAACTCTTATTAGAGATAACAAGTTAAGCTTTAAGAAAAGTCAAGCCCCAGATGTTTAATCAGAACAAAGCAAAGGTGGCAGTTGTGCTATGAGTTTTCTCTTCCAAGGGACAATTATTTATTGTGAGTGTATTTCTCTTTTTGTTTGATAGATTATCTTTCTTTATTAACAAGGCTATCCTTTCAAAAACTAAATAGCAAACGCAATGTTAAATTTTTGAGATGAGTACTTTTATTGCTAACAACAATGTAGATGTATATTATTTTTGTATAGATGTGAAAAAAACAACTAGTTTGGAAATAAATTCCTCATAGAATATAATGTAAAAGCATCTTGCTTTAATCAACACTATGAGATTTTCTCTAAAAATGTTAAATAATGTATTTTTTAATAATATGCTTTTGTGCACATTTTATTTTCTACTAAATAAAAATTTGTTTTAGAAAAAATAATTTCATCTACAGAATTTGCCATTAAGAAAGGTATGCATACACTTTTTTTTTTTTGATGGTATAAATACACTTTAAAGAGAGGAGTAAAGATCGTTTTTTCTTTAAGCTTTTTAAATTTATTTCTTTTTGTTTTTTAAAATTATTATCACAAACATTTTTAAGGTGTGAAATGTTTAAATGCATGTGGATTTCTGGTTTCATTTTGAATTAATTGAAAAACAAAATTAGCTCTTCTGGTTTATTCTTACCATCACATTTATTGTCCCAGTTGCCTTTGGCTGTGTACTAGACCACTTAAAAGCCTAGTTGTTTAAAACAACAGCAACCATTTATTTTGCTCGTTGAATCCATAATTTGGGCAGAGACAGCAAGGAAAGCTTGTCTCTGCTCCATGTGGTGTCAGCTAGGATAGCTTGATTGAAGGTTGGAGGATCTGCATCAAGGTGACACACTTGCCTGCCAAATAGATCTAAGAGGTTGGCTGGGAGCTTGGATGGGATTGAGGAGTTTGGGGTTGGCTTCCTCCCCACATAGCCTTCTCCAAGCAGTTTGGGCTTCCTCCCAAAATGGTGGCTGTGTTCTAAGAGCAACTGTTCTGAGAGAAGGCCAAGTGGAAGCTGAATTGTCTCTTATAAACTAGTTTGAAAGTCACACAGCACATTTCCCTTGTACTTTGGTATTCTAAGGAATCAGTAGTGGCACAGTCATAGCTCACTGCAGCCTCAAACTCCTGGAGTCAAGCCATTTTCCCACCTCAGCTGGTACACACCCAGCTAATTTTCTTCCTCCTTTTCCACCCCCACCCCCCTTTTAGAAATAAGATATCCTTATGCTGCCCAGCCTTATCTCAAACTCCTGGCCTCAAGCAATTTTCCTGCCTCAGCTCCCAAAGTATTGAGATCACAGGCATGAGGCACTGTACCCCAGCAGATTTTACTTTTTGATAGGAGGTGACAAAGTTCTAGAAGAGCATGTGGGGTGAGAAATAGGGCTGTGGCTGTTTGCTATACTCATTCAGCTGGGAAGTGACAGAACCGTGGCTCAGTTCATTTAGGAACCTATCTTTGTTAAGTGTTCTAGAAGAATTTGTTATCTTAAAGTGATGTTTTGAAGTTAATGCTTAAGCTTTTTCTAAAAAACAACTTTTTATTTTGAAATAATCTTAGATGAACAAATAAGTTGTGAAAATAATAACAGTACAGCACGTTTTCTTCCGTTCTTCACTCTGCTTCCCCTGACGTTCACGTCTCACATAACCGTGGTGATGCAATCAAGTAATCAAGGCTGGAGAATCAATGTTGACAGTAAATCGCAGGCTTCATTAGAATTTCGCCTGTTTTTCTACTAATACCCTTTTTCAGGATCTCACATTACTTTGAGTTGTG